CAAGTGTGCCAGGGCACTTGCATTGCTCATCCCTAGGTCCCCATCAAGGAAGACGTGCGGGTCCAACGGCGACTAGTAGTGACGTCAGCGAGTGTGTTGTCCCCAAGTGGAAGGCTGACCACGACGCGGCCGCCTCCAGTCCGGTCCTGCACGAGCGAATAGGGAGCGGCGCAGCAAACTGCCGCAACAAAACCAGCTTGTTAATGGAAATACTCGCATTCCACAGGACACGACGTATAACATTATCATTGTAAACTCGGTGTTGCCACCATACACGAGCCATCCTCTTCAAACAACCTTTGTCGAAGGCGGAAAGTAGGCGTATGTCCTCTATGCAAATTGGTCAGGACCCAGTTCCTCCTGCTTAGCCTCCTTCCACAACCACGATCTCACTAGCTAAGCATAATATAACGCTTGTTGCGACACAATAGCCGACTGGTAGCTCTCCGAAACGACACCAATCCGTTACTGGTGGTTCAGCTGGTGTAACTTCGTCGCAAGTTGCTCTTTCTTCTTATGTATTGCGGCACAATAGCTGTGCTTTTCATCTCTAGCTAAGGTGTATGACAATGAATGATGACGCTCCCATATGGTAGCACTGAAGGGACAGATGCACTGTAAACGCGACCCATTAGCGAGATGGAGACGTCCCGGCGATGCCACAAGTGCCTCAGATTGAAAATGCTGACGGGGCTTCAGCTGTGTGAATAGAAACTTCCTTGCGGATAGTGCTGCCAGGAGGAACAGGGTTTCTAAGTTAGAAACTATCTACTGTTCAAGCTGTGCGCCTTCAAGGGCAAGCAAGAGAGCGGATGTGGGCCAATCATAGAGCAGCACCTTACACTTACCTAGATATTACAATCGTCGGCAGCAATTGTTAGATTTCTCGTCGGCCACTGATCGCCCTGCTCCGTGGGCTGTCCCTTTGGATCCACCCTCTCGCTCAGAAGTCGAACGTGAGATCGAACTGTTGAAGTTCAATAAAGCCGCGGGACTTGATGATCTACCTCCAGCCCTCTTCAAATTCGGGGGACCTGCTCTTGTGGATAATTTACACGAATTGCTAGTTAAACTGTGGGAGCAGGAAACTGTCCCAACCGACTGGAGCCACTCCACCATAGTCCCAATTTTCAAGGAAGGCTCACGATCGGAATGTGGCAGCCATAGAGGAATCAGTCTGATCTCCATCGCCTCCAAATTGCTTGCCTCTGTCATCCTTCACAGACTGACTGGCACGCGTAAAAGCCAGATTCGTGAAGAGCAAGCCGGGTTTCGTCGAGGTCGTGGCTGCATTGACCACATCTTAACCTTGCGTCAGTTGTTGGAGCACCGTCACATATATAGGCGGCCCACTGTTGTCGTGTTACTCGATATCAAACGTGCATTCGATTCGGTGGATAGACTTGCACTGTGGGACTGTCTACTCAGGAAAGGTGTACCTGAGAAATATGTATTATCCAAGCACTATATGCGCGTAGCTCGGGCAGAATGAGGCCTTACGGCAAGTTGTCGTCGCCCTTTAATATCTCCGGTGGTGTGAGACAAGGACGCCCGCTGTCACCTTGCCTCTTTAATTTCGCTGTTGACGAAGTCATGGAACTCGCGTTCACAGGACACGACTTAGAAGGTGTGGATCTGCTCCCAGGAGAACGACTACCTGAATTAGAGTGTGCCGATGATATTGCCCTAATTTGTGACAGCTCCCAGACGTGCCCAGCGACACTGGACAGATTAGCACTGGCTGTTTGTCACTTCGGGCTTTGCTTCGCACCGTCGAAGTGCAAAGCGTTCTTCCAAGATTGGTCTGGACCGCCTCCTTTGCTGACCCTAGGTGGGGATCAGCTAGAAGTCGTTCAGAAATTCAACTACCTGGGTAGTTGTATTTCAGCGCCCGTGGGATTGAAGATGAGATCACGAACCGTATAGCAAAAGCGCGAAATGCTTTTTCTAACCTTCGCCACTTATGGCGCCGGCGCGACATCACTCTTGCCCTGAAGGGTACAGTGTACAATGCAGCGGTACGTTCGAACCTACTGTACGGTTGTGGAACCTGATCCCTTAAACCAGCGGACCTGAAGAGGCTAGTTACGTTCGACCATCGGTGCCTTCGTAATTTAGCTCACATCTGGTGGGAACACCGCGTGAGCAACGAGCGTGTTCGACGCCTTGTTTACGTCACAGGAAAAGGAACTGAACCGCTCAGCACCGTTATTTCACGCACCAGGCTCCGGTGGCTCGGACACGTGTTACGCATGCCAGCCCACCGACTCCCGCGACGTGCGTTGTTTGCGCGCCGGGGGTGTGGATGGAAGAAGAGGGGTGGCCAAGCGATGACTTGTTCGAGAGGAATGAAGGCCCTCACTTCTGTGCTGGCCTCAGTTGGAGCGTCTCGGCTCCATGGTTGGGGTTCAAAAGACGGTGTACACGTTTGGTTGGACAAACTTGCTGATATGGCAAGGAGCCGACCTCAGTGACGTTCGTGCTGTGAGTTTCTTTGTCCCACGGCATCCCTCTTAGCCTCCCCCTCCAACCATGATCTCATTATTTAGCCTTACATAATTTTGCATAGTAATTTTTTGAGGCACATTAGGCGGCTGGTAGATTATCGGAACGATGCCCATCCGTTACCGGTAGCTCAGCCGGCTTGCACCAGTTGTTTTTTTTCTTTTTTTATGTATTGCGGCACAGTAGCTGAGGTGTTCCCCACCGCTGGCTAACGTGTATGATGTGTGTGTGTGTGTGTGTATGTATTACAATCGCCGAACGGATCAGAATGGCTTGCATACTCTGCAGATAGTCACCAAGTAAGGCGATAGTATCAGCATAATCTAAGTCGATGGTGCTCTCACCCGGTAGAGGCTTTAAGCCAAAATTTTGGAAGCCTTAAGTAGTTTTCGACAGGACGTCTTCGATTGCAAAGAGGAATGGCGAAGTAGGATATCCCTGTCGCTATTGACAGCGAGGGGCGAGGAAAGATTGCCGTAGACCCTCATTATGCCGGAGATAAGAAGGTAAAGTGAGCATAAGATGGTGGTATGCTTCTCTGGCACACCGTTCTTTTGCAAGCAGGGCCATAGCGCAGGTCGATCAACCGAGTCAAAGGCAGCCCGTATGTCTAGGAATGCAGCGATAGTGGGTCTGTGGTAAATGTGGCGATGCTCAAGGTGGTGGCGGGACGGAAATCAGCCTATTCTTCATGGTAGTATGATTCAGGTATTGTGAATAGATTGCGACACAGACTGGATGTCAGTACATTGGAGGTAACCGAAATAAGATTAATGCCTCGATGACTGAAATATGAAATGCAAGCGCCTTCCTTGAAAGTCGAGACAATAGCTGATTCGCCCCAAGAGGAAAACATGTTTTCTTTATGCCAGATTTTACAGAACGTCAGTCGATTAATGATTGCTACACCACCGTATCTGAACAGCTTTGCAGAAAGTCCATCAGAACCGGGAGCCTTGAATCACGCTGAGGCTGATTTTGGGAAATCGGGGAAAGTAACATGCAGCTCCGTGGTTAGTGGGGGATGTCAACGTAAGCACAATGCTGGGGCCCCGTAATCAGATCGCTTGCCTACCAGACTCGAAGCGTCCGATTGATTGATGGATTTCTGAAAGCTCGATTACACTTAAGGAAGCAAAAAAAAGACTTTATAAGAATGTCAGTTTCAAACTGTTCTTAGACCTTAGTCACTATGCCTGAGTTACAGAATTAACCGGTGTGTGTTAGGTAGCCAGGAAACGCAAAATGGAGGCGAGCAAAAACGTAGTAAATTAGATTGGTTTCAACGCAATCGAAGCATGGGTCAAAAAAGCTCCCGTAAATGAAACATGATGGAAAAGATGGGCGACCGGTTCAACGACACAGGTGTCAGTCTTTGATGACATCTGTCCTCGTGAGAGAGCCGGCCCGTAGGCCTAAGGATCACAAGCGTGCCTCGTAATCCGACGGCATGGGTTCGAGCCAGCGTAGGGAACGGGCGACCCTCGCAGTATCCTTAGACCACGTGCGACTGGTTGTGGTTGCGCGGCAGCGAAGCGTTGGTACTGCGTAGCGGCGTATCATTGATGCCTGTCTTCTTGCTTCACCTCGTGTGAGCCGATTCGTTGAAAAACAGATTTGCTTTCACTCTGTTCGTGTCTGCGTCAATCACCTGCTCGCACCTCGTCAAGTGTTAGAGCAGAGACACACAGATGATCGACTATGCTGGTTTTTCTTGACGCGAAAATCATACTCGACTCTGTTGATCGAGCGGCCTTGCGCCAGCTTAGCCCATATCTGGTGTGACCGCGTGCGCAATGAGCGCGTACAGCGTTGTGTATTTGATGCACCGAGAGCGAGTGAACTGCTCAGCACTGAGGTAAAACAATAATTGCCGGGCATCAGTAGAACCTACTCGCTTCACCAAGGTGAAATAAAAATAGATGACGGGCATCGAACTAAAAATACATTTTATATTGCATTTAACGTGCAATATATCCGATGCATGCGTGGTATATGCGGTAGAGTAGGGCGCTTTATCTTCGCCCGACATTACACAATCCTCGAAGTTAGTGGAAAATACCATAAGTCCTACAAATCAGTGTAGTGAATTTAACGATCAGACCGGTAGAAGTAATGGCGCAAATCAGAGGTAGAACAGCCTACCAATCCGAATGGCGGTCCGATGGGTTGAAAATGGTTGTGACAGTACAGTCCTATTGCAGTAATCTGCACCCCGAATGTATGCGCAAAACGTAAAGGACCCAAAAAATAGAAAAAATCTGCTTCACATAATCAAATGAAGAACGATTCTCGAATGACAATGTGGGTACATTACAGTGGGAGACTAAAACACCGAAAGTGTCAAGCAAGATACCCTGCAACCACCTGCGAAACTCACACCGCGCAGCAAAAGATTAGCAAACGACAGTACGAGGAAAAAATAAAAAGCCATGTGCACATACGTCGTGAAACAAGAAATGTACTGAAGAAGTATGCATTAATCAAGGGCCTACCTTCTGGGGTGTAACATGAAGCTTTTAGGCACGAGTCGCTGCCCAGAGCCTTCTGTCCCGATCTCCAAGTGAGGCAAGGAGACAGTAACAACGCCTAGAAAGTCATCACGCGTCTTTATTTAATCGAAATGTTAATAAAAGAGTATACCAGGCGGTTTTCGTCGTAAAGCTCAAATACTAAACGGTTTTCGAGGGGGTTGACCTGAATATCAGCATACAATGTGTCAAAAACGCGTACCCTGAATATCACTTCTTCATTCCAAATGGGGTTCAAAGAGCGTTTAATGGTTTTAGTCTGGACTGGAGGGCATAAAAGTGTTGATGAGCGCAGGTTTTTGTACAAAAAGATCTTGCAATAAGGATCACTGCCAAATGCTGAGTATCCGAACACATGTACCTAGCGCCAAAAATATCCTTTTTCATGAGGTCCAGAGCTCTAATAATTCGAACTCGCAATAATCGGGTTTGATCATTACACTTATACAAGTAATGAGATCTAATTGGACATTACTGCAATGAGATGAATCCCTCCGATTTCGTAATGAGTTGTTATTGCACGGCTACGATGTGGAGTTGCTGCTTGGACCATGGCTGTAGATTTCAGCAATTAACTGCAGGATGGGAATACAACCCGCAGTGCGAAACCGGTCTACCATCAGGCTGCATCTAATTGCAGATAGAAAAGGCAACCTTGAAATTCAAGTTCTGGTGCGACAGGAACAATAGGAGTTTCCCGTTGATTCATTCTGAGTACCTGGCGGGATATACTGGTCAAGTATATGACTAAAATATTGTGGATGGCATTCATTTAGATAAACAAGTGGAATGAAAACTGACTGCTTTTAAATTTTGCGCTAATTTAGGACAGGAAATTAAAGGATTCATTGAGTTCATTGAGTGGCAGAGAGCAGAAGGGGGGTCCCGTGTCAGCTCCTTCGCTTCCCGATCTTCCAAGGATTGCAGGCGAGTTGGCTGTCATGGTTCAGGATGTAATATCAGCCCTGCAGGATCCTGGAGTACTCAGTAGGAAGATCAAGTTCAAGTTCAAGTTCAAGCGGGACTGGAACGATAGGATAGATCCCGTGAGTGTTCCTTCTTCGGCGGGTCGTTGAACCAGGAGTTGGCGAACCTTGAAATACTGATGGACCTAAAACAAAGACCGCATCACACCCTGTCCAACCAATTAATGCCCACATATCCTGCCCTAGCAGTCCCTGCTGGGTCGGTTACGTGAAGTAAGAAAGAGAAAAAAGTAAACGCAGGAGGCAAAAGAGAAAGTGGTAAGAGCTAAGCAAGTGGAATACCAAGATATTTGAGTCAATAAAAAAAGAACTGAAAAATGAAGGTGAGTCAGCTAGGAAAAAGGAAAGGTTTGCTGTTGCCACCCAAGAGCATCGAGCTGGCGCGCAAAACCCTTAACCGTAGGTTCCCTAACCACGTGATCTGGAAGAGAATTCCAGCGATCTATAACTCGGCGCGATAGACGAGTTTCCGTCCTAATCTTATCAGACCGTGGTTTATGCAGTTTCAGTGGGTGACCGCGGAGACTAGGTAACGTAGCGGGACTAAAAAGCCCTGACAAGTCCGGGCCAATCTTACCCGTCAAAATACGATAAGTGAGAATCAGGTCCCCTCTTATCCTTCGGTAGTGCATGGAGTACATACCCAAACTGAGCAAGCGTTCAGGATACGTCTGTCCCCGTAGACCCTGCACTAACCGAGTGCCCACTCGTAACACCCTCTCCAAGTCCATTTTGTCTCGGTTAAGACATGGTGGACAAGCCTGAATACAATATTCCAGGTGGGGTCGGACGAATGCCGAAAATAGCTTCACAAACAACTTGGCCGTTAAGATTCCGAAAGAGCGGCGGATAAACCACATCATACGAAACCCTCGACAAGCAGCCTTCTTCCAGTTGTCTCCAGAATGAAGTGCTGATGCGTGTACGACTCCTAAATCAACCTGCTGAGTGACAACAGGGAGTTCACCACCGCCGAGGACATATCGGGTGGGAGGATTTGCAGCTCCGATTCGGAGAACAGAGCACTTGGCCCTATGGGCCTATTCCGGGAGCCCAGAGAGCGATTCCAGAAGACGGATCAATTTGCAGGGAAACTTTTATTGGTTCAGCAAAAGATTCCCTGTTAGCTAGCTATAAATGAACGACACCGTGGACGCTCTAGCTAGGGGAACAGATCAAGCACAGCACACAGAGCAGTCGCGCGTTGCAACCGAAGCGAGCGCCAAGCAAAAATGGCGATGAGCAAGTAAAGCATTCGAACTCAGCAAGCAGTTCAACAAACCACACCGGTTGCCTAAGTGTACAATTAAAGAATTTTGGTTAGAATTTTACACAAGCAAACCGGGGAATCTCCAGACTGCTACATAGCCCTCTCCCAGAAGGGACTGTGTAAGCAGTCCTTCGATCTACGTGAGGACTGTCCGTCGCGGGCCAGCCTTCTGCGAGACCAGGTTGTGAAACCCGATGCAGCTGCTGGGGGAGAACCATGCAATCGGACCCTAGCAAACGTTTGAAACTCGCCTCTGATTGCGCATTGACAATCGGGTCCGGCAGTCGGTTCCAATCATTAATCACTCGAGTAGAGAGAGCGACATCTGAGCGGACTTTGAGCCTCCTCGGTTTAAAAAGCTTCCAGCTGTGACCTCGAGTCGAGCTGCCAAGTCTTAGCTGAAAGAACTGCCTTAGCTCGTTTCCCAGTTCTCCTCGTAGGATGCGCCTGGTATAAATGAGGTCTCCGCGACGTCGGCGATAGTCTAGGGGAAAAAGGTTCATCCTCTGTAGGCGGGTGGGGTACGGGAGGTTGCGTAGCCCATGGACAAATTTCGAGGCTCGTCGCTGCATTTTTTCTATCTTGTCACTTTCATGTTTAGATAAAGGGGCTATGGCCGGATGTCCGAATTCAAGAATGGGACGGATATGGGAGGTGAAGAGAAGTCTAAATATCTGCGGCGTCATTTTTGAGAATGATCTCCTTATGGCGCCCCACATCCTGTTCGCTGCAGCAGTTTTCTTTAACGTGTCAAGGGTCGTTTTGAGATCAGAGGAGATTATTGTCCCCAGGTCCTTTTCCTGTGTGGCAATCTTGAGTAGGTGCCCGCCAATGTGATAGATGCCCAGTGGTTCAGCAGCACCTATAGAAAGGACTGAGCATTTATCTTTGTTGACCGGCAAACCTCACTTGAGAGACCAAGTGTGTAGTAGATCAAGCGTTTCCTGTAATTGGTCGGCATCTTCGAGGCTGGACACTTCCGACCATAGCTTGAGATCGTCTGCATAGATCAGACAGTCCGTTTGTAGCATACTTGGTAGATCATATATATATATCTTGAACAATTCCGGTCCGAGAACGGAGCCTTGTGGTACGCCACTATACATAGGCACGGGGAATGGGAGGGTATCGTTTACTTTGACTTGCATGTTCCGGCCTTGCAAGAAGTCACTGATCCATAGTAGGACGTTCCCTGTCACGCCAATTCCGCCGAGCTTAGAGAGTAGTTCCTGATGTGGGACTCTGTCAAAAGCTTTGCTGAAGTCGATGAAGACCACATCTAAACGTTTTCCAGCGTCCACTGATTTAGCCCACTTCTCTCTAGCGACCAACAGGTTAGTGATGCAGGAGTGCCCCTTTCGGAAGCCATGCTGAGTGACTGAGGTGAAGTTCAGATCTTCGCAGTGTCGGTGGAGAGCAGATTTAATGAGCTTTTCCATGATCTTGCAGGCGACCGACGTCAAGCAAATTGGCCGATAGTTCGCAGGGTCCTGGCGGTTTCCACCTTTGTATTTCGGCATAACTACACCCGTCTTCCAATCGACAGGTAGTCGACCAGCTTTAAGAGAGAGCTGAAAGATTTGACAGTGGGACGGCAATGAATTCTGCAACCATCTTGAGAAAATTTGGATGTAACCCGTCTGGGCCTGGTGAGGAAGAGGAGTTCAGTTCTAGTAGTAGCTTCAAGGTAGCACCTGAATCGATATCGATATGTTCCAGAGGTACTGTATGTGCAAATACATGAGGGTTTGCGAGACTGTCTCCCTTCGTATATACTGAGGAGAACTGTAGAGCCAAGGGGTCAGCTTTGGCGTCATCATCATAGTGTATCATATCTGGCTCATTAGTAGACAATGCAGGAATTCCCCAGCCCGTCTTGGAGGATCTATTAAGGTATGAAAAGAGTATCTTTGTCCTAGAGAGAGATTGTTCGGCCAGGCTATGTTTGTATCGTTGTCTCTTTTCGCGTTTCTGCAGGGAGCAGAAGTTCCTGATGGCTTTGTATTTAGAGTAATCTGAGTCTAAGAAGGAAAGCTTGAATCTGTCCCATAGTTTTCGTCGCTGCTTCATGTTGGCCCTGAGTTCTCGGTCGATCCAGGGGGACCTTTAGAAAGAGGCCTGTTCCTCTTGAATGGGACGGCCTCCTCGATGAGAAGCTTCAATATGTGGAATAGATCGTTCCAAGCAGCATCGAGATCTAAGTGTTGTGGAACATTCCAGTACAATGTACCTGCTGCCACCCTTAGCTTGAATGCGTCGGTTCGCCAGAAGTTGCGACGGTGTGCGCTCCGGGTTCGGATAGCTAGACGTTTAGTCCATAGGAAGGAGATTGTACAATGGTCGCTTTTGCCTATGGGTGGTAGAAGGGTTAGTTCTGAGACTTCTGTCAGGGACGGAGTGAGCAAAAGATCAAGAATGTGCGGAGTCTGGCCGGGAAGAAGCCTGGTGGGCGATGTTATATGTTGGGTGAGATTCGTTTTGAGGACAGTTTCAAGGAGGCTGGTGTTAAATGACTCGGGGGAAAGGTGGCAGTGAAGTAGATCCCAATTGACATGCGGGGCATTGAAGTCGCCCACAATAAGACAATCTCTGCGGTTTCCATGCGAGTTGTTAAAGTCTAGTACAGAAGTACCATGGCCCCACGGGGCTTTGTAGATGACGCCAACCATAAGGGAAATGAAGCCATCGTTGATCCTACACCAGAGTAGCTCTGCGCCACCAACAGCGTCGCTGACGGTTTCTACGAGATAAACTTTAAGATCCTCTCTCCAGTAGAGAACTACGCCACCACCAACTCGAGCTCCAGATCGGTCAGTACGGAAAAGTTGGTATCCTGAGATGTGGATCTCAGAGTCGGAGATGTCTGAAGTGAGCCAAGTCTCAGTGAAGGCCAACAGGTCAGGAAGTAGCTTTGCGGTAAGAGCGTGTACCTCGTCAAATTTGTTTCTGAGACTACGGACATTTGCAACCAACACCTGTAGTCCATTCTTTCTCCTTGTTTTTAAGTCCCGGGGAGGACGAACAGTGGTTTCCAGCGGGACCTTATAGTTTATTGTCCGGGGGTGAGAAGAATGGGCCTCCAACAAGTTTTTGGAGTCCTTCGAACTACTCGAAAATCCACAATATGGAGGTCTGTTTCACCACTTCCCCGTCTTGTACGTAGTTCTTCTACGGCCTTTTTCATTTTGACTCGATCTTCTGGTGAGAGGTCACGAAGTACATAGAATGGCTCGCCTTTGAGACGCGAGGTCCTTCGCAGGATGCGTCGGCATTCCTCCTCATCCCGGCAAACGATTTTAAAGGGGCGATTTCTCGAGATATCCTCTTGTTTTATACCAAGACGGAAGGCAGATACAATATTGATTCCCTGTTCGCCTTCATCAAATAGCAATGAGACCAATCGCTCAAGCAGTGTTTGGTCATCTAGTATTCTTTCCGCAGGGGTTGGATTTTCCGATTCCGCTGCGTTCATGATGATAAGACAAC